AAATAAATATTCAGATTTCGATATATTTGTACCGATGTTTAGTAAGCTAAGCATTGTAAGGTTTAAGGCTGCAAGAAATGTCGTACAAAGTCAGGATCGTCCACACTAGAGAGTTTACTGAACATATCAAACATAGGAATATTTCGTTAGGCTGATGATGAAGATATTCAGTCAATGAAGCACCATACTTGAGACACGCTTGGGCGATCATGTCTCTTTCGATTCATCACCGACTCGGATGTAGAATTTCCCGCAGTAAGATGCCGTTTCTTTCCGCAGTAGCCCGGCTGCCAACCTAGGCTGTATGAACTATTCTGGCATTCTAGATGAAGGGGGGTAGAGATTGATTGTTTAAAAGAAATATTTTATAAATTTCGAACGACAGTAGTAAAAATTGCTCGGTCAATTCATGTTGAATGTTTCCTTTTCCTTTCTTTCGGGGAATTTACTAAAATAACCATAGGTCAAAGTTTAAAATTATATTAAGCCTTAAAGACATTTTTTGCGAAATATTGATGACTTAATAAACAGTGCCGTCTCTTGACTTGTTATTGGGTCCATCTTTTTCATTGAAACGTGTGTCATCATTTTCTGCACGACCGCCATCTTTTGCCACTCCATTAGAGCAAGTGATAATTCTCATTTTCCACGGTTTATCACGGCTTGATTATCTTCTCAAGAACTGCTGTGGATTAATTGAACAAAGTTTCTTTCAAGTGTGCTTGGCTTAAAAGTGATGTGCGTGCAGTATGCATGACGGTTCGGTATGGATAAATACGCGTTCAATTTGGAGATATCAAAGGAGAGGGATAACAACGAAGATTACTAATCCTTAAACTTTTACTTTCATCGCTGAAGGAGAACGCTGTGTTTCCTCTGTGGCAAGGTTCTTGCCAGCGCAAGCGCGAAGCTAGCAAATCTAAAAGAGAACTTTACGTCTTTTCATCTTGAAAACGCTCCAGACATGGCTTGGGTTATTTCGTGAGATGTAGGTTCAATTTAAGAAAAAAAAAAACTTGGATTTTCTCTAAAACAAAAGTCTTGCCTGGAAGTATCCTACAATTTTGCTTATCACCTTGCCAAGCAAAAGAAGCCGATTGGAGAGACCTTGGTAATGACATGTGCCCGGGGAATAATCAAGTTACTTTGTGGCTTGGAGCAGAGGAAAAATATTGAATCAGTAGGGCAGATTGATTTTTCACCGTTTTTAGAAAATCAATATTACACTCAATGTCAAAGCTGTGTTGTGATAAGTACTGAGACCAAACATTATATTCACGGCTTTTAATAATTTTTGAGCATATAGTTTTTAAAGATTGTCTGAAACAATGTATGGAAATACCTCATTTCCGCGGGGTTTTGCTTACAAAATGACATCCAAATTTTAATATTTCCAGAATAAATCCTAATAAAGTTGGAATATTTTGTATTGAACGGAAAATATATTCAAACTAGAATTCTAAACATGAATCACCACAAGCAAAATATTTTTACTGTATTCGATAAGTAAAAAAAAATGTAAAAGATTATAAAAAATTCTACTCAATGAATAACATTTGTTAGATCGTAATTAAAAACAAAAATAGATAAAAAATGTATATAACGTCATAATAATAATTAATAATTAATACGACAAAATTAATAATTATAATAATTAATAATTATACGACAAAATTGTTTTAATTTGTATTGTTTTTTTGTTTTTTTAAATCAAACTAAAACTCCTGCACTGTATAACACATCACAATATCGCTAAATTGTTCAGTATAATTTCTCTTTGAAATAAATGAAGGACATATATGATGGTAGAATGATTTTGTAATAATATGCTTGTACCATGTATCTTTTCCATGTACAATTTTGTTGTGGAGTTATTTCGCAGAGGAGGCTAGTATTTGTACTAAGCGGGTCCTAAATAGTTCGACGTACAAAACGTTAGGAACTTGATATAATAGAGTAATCTTGTTGTGGTCGCTGACTACTTTCGTATTCGACTAACTGTCGGCTACTGTCGTTCGACATCGACGCTATTTAGTAACTGGCCCACACAGTCACATATAGCACAAGGCCGAATTTAATGTGGGGTTCCCAAGCCCGTAGGCCCGGCCAAAAAATCCCCGTAGACCCCCGCATAAACGGGATCGGGTCTGTCTACCTCCCCTGATGAAACTCTGCCCTTCGGCATAGCCTCGTCCGGGTTCCTCTCTGCCCGAAGGCAGAGAGTTCGACTGTCGTCCGACATCGACTAGTATTTAGTCACCGCCCCCGTGGGTATCATGTGGCACAAGGCCGGTTTAATGTGGGATCTCCGAGCCCGTGGGCTCGGCCAAAAATATACCCTTTGAACCCGTATAAACGGGTTCAGGGTCGGTTTACCTCCCCGAACGAGACTCCGCCCTTCGGTGTAACCTCATTTGAGCTCCTCCCCGCCCGAAGGCAGAGAGTTCAACTGCTCAGACGGTCCTCCGACAGCGACTGACCCTCGTTTCTCTTACTACTCCTTAGGTGGGAGAGTCTATTAACTATAGAATAGGTGTGTTTCACCATAACAAATTTGTAAAACTTAAGTAAATTATAAACTTTTAAAGGCTTTCACTGATGACCGAAATAACATTCCAATGCTACGATATTGAACCTAAATCTAATGTTTAAACTCGTTTCCTCGAAAAACGGTTCTGATCTGAATAAAACTATTTTGTGTCGTTTTTAATCCTGTCAAACACTACTTTCAAATTCAGCACGATACTTGAGTTCCCAAATCGACCCTTGCTCTATTGAAGCAGTGTCTTTGTCAAAAGATGTCATCCCATCCTAAATTGTTGACATGTCTTCTAATATCGAGTAATGGAAGAATTGACAGCTATACCATTTCCATTCAGCATGCAACTAGAGGAATCTACTGACATCTCTGACTGCAGTCAGCTGTTACTTTTCGTTCGCTATGTGCATGTTGGTCCTGACAAAGAAGAAATTTTTGTTTGTTAAACTCCAAATGTTATCGATATTTTAAAAATTACACTAAAAATATTAAAGATGTCTATGTTTTTAAAATAATTTAGGACAATTCTTTCCGCTGAATCCGAAAATGACATCCGTTTCTCTCGACTAGCTCATGTTTTTTCGTTGAGTTTTAAAAATCTGATCTTCTGATTAAATCGATTATATTTTTGTGACATTATCGATTAAATATAATGAAGTTAATATTTTTCATATGAAATAAGTATTTTTAAGAAAAAAATAATATTATACATTGATAAATGTAAGTATATGTAAACTGGATGTTACGTCATTATTGTTCAGAATTCAGGTCTTGAAATTCCGTTTATTCGAACCTTTAGAATGATCAGTTACAAGGGTGTCTCTCTACAAAGTCCATCAGTAATCAGCCATCATGACTGCATCCCTGTGTCCCTGGTGCCTAGTCTCAATCGTTTTCATTTGCTGATGGAATCGACCTCCTCCCTGTTTATTGCACATTGATTGATTCTCAAGGAACCCATCCCTATGTGAGAATAAATAATACATTTTGATGCATCCGAGCTTTCTGAAATCAGTCTGCATATTGATAATTGCGTAGTTCCTGGTCATGTTGTTGCCAAGAAAGTTCTTCACAACCACAACAAAAGGATTCCGTGCTTCCAGTTCCACTTCGTACATTGAATTTTCAAACTATGAATCTCTGATGTGTCAACGGTTTCGAGGGTCCATCAAAAACGCGATTTTTCAACTTCTCCATAGTGAATCCTGGAAAAGTTGGGCCCAAGTAATTGAAGCAGCCGCCATCTTTGTCCAGAGCTTTGGTGAACTGCTTGATCAAGCCGAGCTTGATGTGCACCGGTGGGAAAAAAAGTATCCTGTCTCCGTCCACCAGCGTCTTATTGATGACGTTCGTTGCTCTGCAAGGCATCAATTCCTTCCGAACACGCCAGTCCTTTTTCGTGTAACGCTGAACAGTGTCCGTACAATCCCATATGCACAGAATGAATGGGTACTTAGTATACCCGGACTGTTGTCCCAATAAAAATTTCATCATCAGGTTAACGCAAATAAACCTCTCATATAGAAATAATGAATTTTCTCCAACACATACTTTAATGCTTCATATTTCTCATTTAGTCGAGTCGAGTGAGCGAGGAGTAGAGAGACAAACTGGTTGCCCTTGTGCAGTAGGGTACTTTTCTGTGATCGATTGCTGCTGTCAATGAATAGTCGCCAATCTTTGGGTTCGTACTGTGGCACGCCAATTATGCGCAGATGATACACAATATCTGTACAGTACAGTTCACCAAGGCCTTCTGTTCAGTGAAAAATCGAAGGTACTGTTAATGTCTGTTGCGGTAGAAGGTGATGCGGACACAGTCACAGAGAAGCTGTTTTTCCTTCAATCTAGATGCCAAAAATTCGACAGAGAACTTTGACAAGCTGAGACCGCGAAGTCACTCATTTATTTTTCCTTTTGGGAAAAAGGATGTGGAGCATTATCGTAAAAAGCACTTATTCTTTTTTTTCTGCTACAGCATGACGGCCAATCTTATTACTATGAATACTACAAGTTTTTATTCTATGGTTTAGCATTGTACAGTTTATTTGATGTGTTTTGAGATGTAAGCATTTTATTGTGTGTTATTGGTTTATAAATATGTTGGAGACGTCTTTTAATATTTATGCAGCTTTTTATGACTGAAAATAAATCTGATAGTTTAAAATTAATAATTAGTTTTATTGTGGTGAAAATATGTTGCATATTTCGATATTTTAATGGACATGTCGATGTAAAGCGAGATGTAAAAACAGTATGTGGCCAGAGCTCAAAGATTTGACATGATTTAGTAAAACTAATATGACTTTTGGATTCAGCACATCAAAGGTGTCCTAAATCAGCTAAAAACGTTGAGAAAATATATTTTTTGTTGGCGAGTTTTATGAATAGATACTTTGCCAACCATAATTTGCATTGGAAGTAAGATTTTTGTGGTCTGTGCACAGACGGGTCTCCTGCTATGCTCGGCAACACATCTGGTGTTGCTGCTGTGTTGAAGAAAAAAGCTCCTCGGATCATCGTTACCAATTGTCCCCTTCATCGACATCGTCGAAGTAACTGTCAAAAGTTGTGAAGTCCAATCTAATAGCGTGAATATTGTCAAATTTTTAAGAGCAACGGCTGTGAATCATCGCGTTTCAAGAGGTCTTGTCAAGAAATGATAGAAAAATATGGGGTTCGCTGGATTTATAGATGTCAGATCTTGATGCATCTGATTTCAACTGAGAGCAGAGTTTTCTTTTTCTAGGGGAACACGTGCATACTCAGAACAATTTGTCAGTGATATCATTCATAGCTTGGTGGGTATATTTGGCTAAATGAACGAGGTAAATGTTTTGATTCAAGGCGATGAAGTCACCGTTATAGATGCTGCTGAAATAATGAAAGCTTTTCTGGCCAAGGTTGAAGGCAAACTTTCCAAAATTTAGAAGAGGCTCAACAGGATGGGAGTGAAATAAACATTTCCCTGTCACCCTCCCTCTAGGCAGAATCTTAGGGCGTTCAGCTGAACTCTTTTGAAAGATAATTTGTCTCGGGTGACCTTAAAGTTGAAACATGGATACATAATCCTTTCCTAACCGATGTCAAGTGTATCAGTGGTGAAGAACTTCATTGGCCTCTGGACAAAGGAAATTTTACAAAATTGATTCAACTCGAAAAGCCTTGCATCATTCTGGTGTGCATTGACCCAAGCCTACCTTCGTCTGGTAAAGCGAGCTATGACTGTTCTGCTTTCCTTTGCCACAAAATCCCTTTGTGAATCAGGATTTTCAGCACTTGTATCTATCAAAACGAACATTCAGAATGGATTGGATATCTCATATAACATACGTAGTCACTTTATCAAAACCAGTCCACGGTTTCATATTCTTATTTAAGGCAAACATCAGCAAGAACTCACTGAAATAAAGTAGATAACGAGAGAGTGGAAGAAGTAGCAGAAGTAGAAAATCTGGTTTAATATGCACAGCAGAATTGTACTTCATGATTATAATGAATGGCCCTAACTTTTTGAATAAAATGAAGTGTTTTTTATTGTTTACTTTAATGTTCACTAATACTTTGTCACATGTATGCCGTCCTGGGTATGGCGATAAACAACGCCCACGTCCTGGGTAAGAAGATAAACTACAAACTGGGGTCAAAACATTATGAAAGTGTAAAAATAGGTTTTATACCAGAAATAATTTGTAAAAATTAATACCAGGAATAAATTTTTGAAAAAAATATTTTAACAGTTAAACATTTTTTAAGGAAAAAAAATATTACCAGCAATAAAAACTGTCGGCATTCAATAACCGAATGTGGTTGATATGCCGTAAATCAAACCAAACCAAACCAATCATATATATGACAATAACTTCTTGATAAATAAAATACAAATTGGATGGAAAGTTAATGTTTATATGAATATTTCTGGGAAAGTGGGTTTATATCTTTCATTGGATTCTTAAAGAATGAAGGGTACTAATATTTGTCCAGTTTAGAAAGGTAAAATTATACTTAAGGTTAGTTTAATCTAGCCTCGTGACATATTAAATTGGGGGAAGTAAAATGGTATATGTTGGTGCAGTAGGGGTTACTTGGCGATAGCTATCTCTGTAATATTCGGTAGGTTATACAATAGCGGTAGGAATACTCGTTCAAGTTGCAATTTTCTGTTTTCCGCCTTTTTGTTTTCATTATATTTGTATTATATCATATGCATCATATTTGCTATTCTCAGTTGGGGTTAAAGAAGGGACGGTATCCATCGTCTACTTGGCCATCATCAACTACACAATCTACAGAGATTTCAACCCAGATATGTTGAGCGAAATGGACAGGTGAACAGCTGCAACGTGAGCCTATGAACTGTTGATGATGATGGGGATCGACGACGATGATGATGACGATGATGATGATGGATACTATTTACCCATATCTAAAGGGAGGGTTGAATTTATGCCTTTCACAGACGTATTGGTATGAAGTGAACACCAACTGTCTACGCTGGAATGCCATCTATCTTTCCATTTCCGGTCTTACATCATCAGGCAAAACCCGCCTCTAATGGGAGGTTGAAAAGAACGAGTCGCGTGTGAATAAATACATTTTTACAAAGTAATTCGCATTTGTTTTAAGCTTCGATGTGGAATAACATCGAAGCTTTCGCGCAATAACTTTTCTGAATATTCTTTTTAGTAATATTTTTTCAAATATCTGCGCCAAAGTTTAGTTGTCCAAATACACGAGACTTTAGCAATAAAATGTCCCAAAAAAACACTTCGAAATGAATGAAATGGACACTAGTCTCGAAATCGAAGAAGGAATTCAAAATAAACTTTCATTTTTTTTTAACCTGTTGCAATTTGATGAAACCAAATTGCAGAAAATCGAAAGAAAAAAAAAAAAGAAAATTCCTTCGATTATTCAGAATTCAATTGGATTTAATTAAATTTATTCTTGTTGGATTCATTTCAGTCCCGTTGAAGAAATGAAAAGAATTTTAATTTTTTTTTAAATCACTAAAATTAAAACCATATAATCTAAACCACTGATTTTTTTTTTATCAATTTGAATTCTAGTCAAAATATAAACAAATATTCATATTGGTTTTTGTTTTTATTTCGGATCTTATTAAGAAGCTTTCTTCATTTTTTTTTTAAATCTTTTGATCGATTCGACATCTTTTCTCCCGTCGGACAATAAAAATAAATTAATGAGATGATTGCTCTCCATCTTCGCATAATTGTGGAAAACCTGGAAATTTGGCGGAGACAATGGGCCGAGCAGTCAGAGTGGATTTCCTTTTTTATTAATTGAAAAGATTCTAGTATCTGCAGTAAACTGTAAGGGAATATTATCTGCTTTCAGGTCGATTGATTCCTAATATTTCCTGGCATTTAGACTATTTATGTAGCTAGAGCATAATAGAGATAGACTCTCCCCAATTAGAGACGTTCAGGTTACGAACATACTTAAATTTATAAGTTCAACCTCCGCATAATATCAGGTCATCCCATAAGTTCTGTCCGAATTTTGAATAAAGAAAACAAGTGACCAAATGTTACATTTAATTACAGATTCAATCAACAATGTATTTTCCATGATTATCTATGACTTCCTTCCATCTATTAACAAGCTTACTAATTCCATTACTATAAAATTCTTTTGGCCTTGATTCGAAGAACTCACAAATGTCAGTTTTAACCTCTTCCTGTGTTACAAAAGCTGTTTCTTCCAAATGATTCTGTAAGCTACGAAACAAATGGTAGTCTGAAGGAGCAAGATCGGGAGAATAAGGTGAATGAGGAATTTTCTCCCAACCAAGTTCTTCGATCTTTGTGACGTGATTCTTGCTGTGTGGGGTCGCGCATTGTCCTGATGAAACATCACCCCTTTTTGATTCACGAGAGCCGGTCTTTTTTTCCTCAAAGCTTTGTTCAAACGCTCTAATTGCTGACAGTATATTTGAGCATTAATTGTTGCATTAGGTGGTAAGAATTCAAAGTGGATTATTCCTTGGCGATCCCACCAGATTGAAAGAAGAACCTTTTGCTCATGAAGTTCCCTTCTCGGCTGTGGCTGGGGTCCTTCCCCTTTACCAAACCACTCTCTACGACGCTTAACATTTCGATAAAAGATGTATTTTTCGTCGCTAGTCACAAGTCTATCCAAAACAGGTGAAACAAGTTGGTGAGAATGGAGAGAAGAGCAGATGTCAACTCGGGATTTGAGGTTGTTTTCAGACAATTCATGAGACACCCATTTTCAAGTTTAGAAACTTTTCCAAGTTGTTGAAGATGACGATGAACAGTTGTATGGTTTGAACTGAGAACCACTGCCAATTCCTCAACTGATAAAGCAGGATTTTCTTCAAGGGCTGCTTCAAGAAGCTTTTAATCGAACTCAACTAGACGTCCAGTTCGATCTTTATCTTCAAGGGTGAAATCTCCACCTCTGAATTTTGCAAACCATCTTCTGCAAGTTCTTTCATTCACACATTCCTCTCCATAAACTGAGTGAATGTTTCTAGCCGCTTCGGCTGCTGAGTTTCCTTTCTTGAACTCATATGCATTATGTGCCTCAAATGATTTTTGGGTACTTGCATGTTAGCAGGGTTTTAATCAAACAAAATTTAATTTTTATTGTTCTCTGAAATAAAATTTGATTTGTTTAAATGCATCTAAATATAAAAATAATGTTCAGCTCCATTAGACATTATAAAATACTTTTTAATTTTCGTTCATTTTAAAAAAAGGTAAAATTCCGACAGAACATATGGGATGACCTGATAGATGACTTTATTGTTGCTCTTAAGCTTCACGCTATAAAATAACAGTTATTGGTATACTGCAACACCACGGGTTTATTCGTGGTTATTTGTGCTTTCTCTAAAGCATTGCCAGTGTGATTTCTTCTCTGCGGGATGTCTGCTCGTTTCCGAGCTGCCCAATCCCCAATCTCCAGTTCTGATACATTTCACAAGCGTCTACTTTGAGTGCTGGACGATGAATTATTTCCCACCCTACAACCATTTTCCCCACAGTCGGAACATTGCAAGTTTTTTGCTAATCTATTGCAATCTCTATGGCAAATGTTCTGGCGATGTACATTCTTTAGTTGCACAGTTCTGACAATCACAACTAAACCCCGCCATCTCCCGTACATCAAGTTAACACATTCGCTTCGTATTCGATTGTTCTGTTTGGTTATCTTTTTATGAAGAACAACTACTTCGCCGAACAATGTTAATCTATACAAGTCTGGGATTAATCGTTATCTTTCCCACATATCCACAGAAACTGTAATTTTACCTTATCGTCTTACATTAATACAACCACCCCGTTAAGGTACTGTTGTAACCCAGAAAGCGTTAATGAATGAGGAATAAATAAAACAATGGTTGGAAATGAAATGGAAATTTTTATAACATCAACAAAATAAAATACTCGCCAGCGGCGTGAAGTAGGTAAACCACTGCTAGTGGTGGACTACTTAGACGGCATATTACTCCCACTTACAACAATGTCCACCGTATTTATGAGGCTTGGGACACACTCATGAGTGTTCATATGTAAATAGCGCTATTCCAGTCTGTTCACATCTATCTATCTATCTATCTATCTATCTATCTATCTATCTATCTATCTATCTATCTATCTATCTATTTCAGTCTGTTCATTATCTATCTATTTGTTGCAACCTAGGAAGGGTTATTGAATGAGGAATAACAAAAACGGTGCTTGAAAATGAAACGGTAAACTTTATAAATCAACAATATAAAATACTCGACAGCGGCGTGAAGTAGGTAAACCACTGCTAGTCGTGGACTACTTAGACAGCATAATACCCCCACTTACAATAGTGTCCAACATATTTATGAGGATTGGGAAATATCTATTAGTGTTCATAGGTACGTTATATAACAGTTACACTTAACTTTGAGCGGCTTTTAAGCCTTGTATTGAGTGAACAAATAGTAAAAGCAAATGTCCACATGTTCAGACCCATTTATGTTTCTTTAATACCCACGGAGGCAATCTGTGGTTTATTGTGCAACTATGATGAACGGATATCAAAATAGTGATTTTATTCTCTGCTACTGAAATAGCGAAAGTTCTTCGGCCTTCTTATATAATTTACTGAACTTTTTAAAACGAGAAACTCGTCTATAATTTTTCTTACTTTCTTGCAGTGTTCTGGAGTTGTAATGGGTAACAGATCGAAATGAGAGATCCGAGAATAGATTCGAATTCCATTCGGATTCGTTACATCCATTTACGCAAAAATACCACTGGGAAAACTATAAATACATCTCTACCACACTCATGGGTCCATCTGGAAACATATTGTTATTGACAAAAATATTGTTCGTACAATATTCACTCTTAAAAACGTATTTTTCCTATGCAACGTATGTTTTGGCTTCATATAACCCATAAAGAATATGCCCAGTATTTACATTATTCGGACTATTGTCCTCATCTTTGTCGCCATGTTTATCACAACGTTTCGGCCGTTGTAAGCTCGGGCCTTCTTCGGGTGGTTAGAATGTCGAACTGAACTCTTTATTTCGCTCACTGGGGTAGACTGTTCTAGTTCTACGTGCCATGTTTGATGGATGTCAGTTATTTCCTGTTAATTCACCTCTCATAATTCTCCAACGCCTTAACCAGGTTTTGAACTCACACGCTTTGGGTCCTGTCACTAGATCTAACTAACACCTTTATCCACTGTGCCATGTGTCCTTGGTGACACATGGCACAGTGGATAAAGGCGTTAGTTAGTTCTCTTTAAGGCGACAAAGATGAAACCAATAGTCCGAATAATGTAAATAGTGTACATAATACCTCATCTCAGAAATATAGACAGAAACTGAAAGAATATGCCATAAAAAACAAATAAAATCTCAAATCCTTACTTTCTTCAGATTTTGTAATATTGGATGGACGTATTGTATTAGAACTATCTTCCATATTTAAAGACTTTGCAGAGAAAGCAAGCAGATCCTACTTAGGTATATTTCCAAGAATGCTCGTGTTGTGTCGAATTTTGTTATCATTGAACAATTAGGAGTCTACATTCCTCAACCGAATCGCGTGGAAATATAATAACATGTCTTTTTACCTTAGGGATATCTTTCGACGACGTGAGCATTAACAGTGGTAAGAATATCAGCTCCAGTTAAAATGTGTCAAGTTGTATTGGATTACATGGTGCTAGTCGGGTGTAGTTAAACCTGATTCTATGAAGAGTATTCAAGAAAAGAAACAACTTCAGTATAAAGACATTCGAGTCATTGATTTCATTTTCTATAATTTTAACAAGGATAACTTTGCATTTTTCAAGTTCAATGTAGAAAAGTCAACGAAGGAGTGGCAATGGATATGAACAAGGAGGCGATTTAATCTATGAAAGGATTGATAGACAAGGACATTTTGAAATGCAACAGATTAATAGGTAACTCAAGAAGGGAATGAAGGCGGTAAATAAATCAGTAAAATCAATTCCAAAGTGAGGAAGAATTCAGAGAAAAAAAAATAAAACAAAAACAAAAAAAAACAAAAACCAAAAAAACGGAAATTACTGTCAGTAAGTTTGATTCAGTGGTTTTTCCACAGTAATGCGACGTATCTCGCTCATAAGATACCCCGGCAACTACCTGCAACTACCGTTTTTTTTTTGTAAGGGCATCAATATTTTCTGCATACAACAAAACCTACATTCCACCCGACAAAAATAAAGGAATCCAGAATGTAAAAGTTTTGAAGAGCACCCCAAAAACACCATTTTCGTTTATCTAACAGGTTCACGTGACACGATATTATAATAATTTTAAGACCAGGAATAATTTAATTGACAAAAACAACATGGCAATAATAGCTCATGAATGTAGACCTTATATATCCTATTTTAACATTTATATTTTTCCTTGGCTGTTTTTAATGGAAACCACGGTTCTAATAGATGATAAAAAGAAAATGGGAAAAAAATGTGAGACTAGTAAGACAGAGCACAGCAGAGGTTACTAAATTTTTTCTTTTTTGGGGGGGACGCATTTTCGGAAGGAAAATTTGCTCGCGCCTCACCAAATTTTATGTGACAAAAAGTAAATTTTAAATTTTTTAAGGGGAGATAACTGTCAGAACATTATCATTGATAACTCTCTCCTCCAATTTTATTCTTAATACTTGATATAAATCTAGAAATATGACAATGATAAAAAAAAAATCGGTCAATAATTATTTATAACTATTTATACAGGGAACACATGCATGCAATTACAAGCAATCCATAATAATAAAATTTTGAAATCATATTTATTTTTGGCATTAATTTATTTTTTGAAACTGTTTCTAAATCTTTTATTGTCTTCCAATCATTCCGTCACACCTGCTATCCTCTATAGCAGATCAGTTATAAACCTAATCCTAACCTTCAACTTGTAATAGGGATCAAAATGCGTCATTGAAACTGGGCATTGAGTTGGAAAATCAAACCCTTGCAGTTACTGTTAACCGTCCTCTGTTTATTGTAAATTTGCGACAGCAGAAACAGACACAGGTGGAAGGTTGAGAAATAGCAATACCTTGATTGGTGGACAATTCCGTTTGGATAAACAGACAATATACTGAACTGCTACATAATATCAGTTCTCCTATATGACAGTGGATGCTGGGCAAAAATGCGGGTGTACAGATGAATACTGAGAATGCAATGAACCGATGTCGCGAACATCGACGAAGTATTAGAGAGAATGAATACAAAAAAGAAATCTTAGACATAACATCAGGAAGAGAGAGAGAGAGAGAGAGAGTTGACATTTCTAGGGCACATAACGAGGAACGTATGTTTAGAAAAGTTGATACTCACACGACAGACTGAAGGCAAGAGAGAGATTGAGATAGATAGATAGATAGATAGAGAGAGAGAGAGAGAGAGAGAGAGAGAGAGAGAGAGAGAGAAAACAAAGTATCACCAACCTAACGAACTTAAGTATATAGATGCCGGAACAAGCTTTAGAAGACAGTAAAAAGGCAAAATATCTAGCTAGCTATCTAGCAATATATCTATAGTTAAATGCCCAGATAAATTCTGCGGTTAAGGAAAACTGGTATAAGATGACAAGTGGGAAAATGTTTTTAGTTTTTTGCCGACGATTTTCCTCTTCCAACTTTATCAAGACAAAAAACAAGAACATTTCGATTTCATTTTTAACTTGAAAAAGTGGGAAGACGAAACCCACCGGCAAAAAAAAAAATCTAAGATTTTTCCAATTGTTATCTTATACCATTGTCCCTTCATATCTATCTATCTATCTATCTATCTATCTATCTATCTATCTATCTATCTATCTGAATCCGTTTAGATCTATCTATCTATCTATATTCTCGTATCAATGTCTCTCTATAACTGTTCTCATTTCAATGTCTATCTCATATGAATATCTATCTATCTATCTATCTATCTATCTATCTATCTATCTATCTATCTATCTATCTATCTATGTTATGATATCAATGTCTATCTATCTATCTATCTATCTATCTATCTATCTGTAATTCCATCACTATAATGTTATGCTTGATTAACAGAAATTTTTACAATTGTCATCTTATACCTAATTCTGTTTATATCTATCTATCTATCTATCTATCTATCTATCTATCTATCTATCTATCTATCTATCTATCACTGTTCTCATATTAATATCTATCTATCTATCTATGTTATGATATCAATGTCTATCTATCTATCTATCTACCTATCTATCTATCTATCTATCTATCTATGTTATGATATCAATGTCTATCTATCTATCTATCTATCTATCTATCTATCTATCTGTAATTCCATCACTATAATGTTATGCATGATTAACAGAAATTTTTACAATTGTCATCTTATACCTAATTCTGTTTATATCTATCTATCTATCTATCTATCTATCTATCTATCTATCTATCTATCTATCTATCACTGTTCTCATATTAATATCTATCTATCTATCTATCTATCTATCTATCTATGTTATGATATCAATGTCTATCTATCTATCTATCTATCTATCTATCTATCTATCTATCTATCTATCTGAATCCGTTTACATCTATCTATCTATCTATCATTCCATCAGTATAATGTTGAGCATGACTAACAGAACTGGGTTTAATCATAGTTGCTCAACAGACGCCACGAAATTATCTCCCAACAGATGCACCAGATGTCATCTTCATCTTATTATCTCCTCACGCAGTCTTTCTTTCTTTCTTTCTTGTTCTACTATGCTATTTTTCATTATTTTTTTTTTTTACTAATCTAAAACAGTATAATTAATCAGCAATCTTTCTTTTAAATATCTTTTATGAAACAGAACTGATAGGGAATATCTACAGTGCTTTTTAGTGAGTTTAACCTAAAGTCGAAAAAGTAGTTCGATGGTTGATAGAGACATTTTCTTATCATTTCACCTCAAGCAAGTCAGTAATGCTGCTAAGACGCAACGTGCTACTAGGAATGGAAGAGAATGTGCAAAACTTTAGTGAGGAGAAATGTTAATAGAAAAACAGGTTCTAAAGAGACCGAAGATGACGATTGACACTGCATTTTAAATGTTGAAGAACGTTGGCCGTTCCTTAGCAAGAAACTGAAATAAAGTTCCCAGGTGAGAAAATAAACCATTAGAATAGAACAGAACTTACTGTACGTTATTTGTCTGCACTATTGTCCTTTTTTTCGCCATATTTATTACAACGTTTCGGCCGTTGTACGCTTCGGCCTTCTTCAGGTGGTTGGAATATCGAACTGAAACTTTTATTTCGCTCAGTGGAGTAGACTGTTCTAGGTCCATCATGGATGTCAGTTATCTCCTGTTAATTTCCCTCTCCAAGTTCTCCACTGCCTTAACCGGGTATTGAACTCACAACTCTTTGGGTCCTGTCACTGGATCTAACTAACGCCTTTATCCACTGTGCCATGTGTCTTTGAGGACATCTGTCCATGAATTTCTGGGTATTATAAACTATAATGTCTTCAGCAACCATTTTTTTACCAGTGCTCATATTGCAATGTTTGCTGTTATCATTTCATATTTTTACCAAAGCTCATATAGCAATTTTTTTGTTATTATCGCTTTTCTCTGGCACTCCTTATTACCGGTTCCCATATTCTATTCATTTCTATGCTTGGTCAGCTCAGGAGATTTTTGTAGCCTAGCATATGTGTTGATTCCTTAAGTTTACGAATTTTCCAATGATGTGCTTTCTCTATGATCTCAGCCTGATCCCACAGAGGGTGGTGATCTCCCTTCTCTCTCCATATGTGGTCAGCCACGCCTGATTTTTCCACTTCCCCTCATGTTACAGCTTTCTGGTGTTCTTGAAGCCTTACATTAAGGGGACGGCCTGTCTCCCCTTTATAGTTATTCTTAAAATTGTTTTTTTTTTTGTTTTACGGCATATTAACCCCAATCTGACAAGATTTTTATTGCTGGCATTTTTTTTTCTCAAAAATGTATTGTTAATAATAATGTATTGCTGTTAATAATTTTTTCTTCAAAAATCTATTGCTGGTGATCATTTTTTACAAAGTATTTCTAGTATTAAACTTATTTTTACACTTTCAACTTTCATATGTTTTGACCTCAGTTTGGGAGCCATGGCTGGGACCCTAGCAATTGAAGAGGTGGTTCCACGCTCCTCAAAATTTCCTGTTTAGAGGCACCTCTGTTAGACGCGGATGTAGTTTATTGTCATACGCAGGACTGTATTCTTAAAAGAACTGCCGAACATTCAAAACAGAACATGTGCGAGTTGTTCTCCGTTTTGTTGGCAATGCTTACAGTAAGATGAAGCAAATGAATACGAAATTCTTAGGTTCAAAGAGGTACCCAGATTCCTTGCGTGACACGAAAAAGGAATGAAAACAACAACAGATATGACTAAAAGAAAGCAGAATATTAGATAACAGTTAATTTCTTATTCTCCAAACCGAACCCAGGTTAAGAATGGCTATGGAGAAAAAAACCCGCTGGCTTTTCTCGAAAGGCATCGTGTCAGATGGAAGCTTGATAACTCACATGGGAATCGGTCGTTTGGTGCCAGAGACAGCGTCATTGATCCGACATTTAATTGGAACGTCTACAATTCGAGAAGCATCGTTTATCGCAGACAGCAGATAGAAATCAGGAAAAGGAAACGGTCGGTTAGCCCGTTTGAAATTTAAGTCCGGAGTCAATCATGCTCCGTATCGATTAATCGATAAGGTTAATCATATTGCACATTTGGGGGATGATGGAAGAAATGCTTTCCTCCTCTAAATTGATGGAAACGGCTGACGTCAGAGGCATTGCTGGAGCTTTTCACAGAGACGTATTGTCATATTTTGCCTGAATGAGAGGGAAGATATCGATTATTTTTGCCGAGTTCCAGCTAACGTGTGGCATATTAAAAAGACTGTAGACCTCCAAAATAGATCTTGCCCTTATGTAAGAGATAAAGCAAGCCATATATGAGTTAACGCAGAGAAATGTCTCCAAATCTGAACTAATCACCAAGAATCATCAAATTTCTATTCTTAGAATGGCCTTAAGGTCGATCCTTTAAATTGTCAGCACCTTTCGTATTATGTTTTCGACATAAATTGCAAGCGTTATTTTGTAGTTACCCATGTTTGTTCTTTAAAAAGGTTTGTTCATTAAAAGGAAGAAGCAGTTTCGAGCCTAGCTGGTGAGCAGATCCTGCTTATCTTCTTATTTGAGTCTATAAACTACACAGGTTAGTAGGTTGTTGTAGAGTAGTTTTCACATTGAAGGCTTGTATTTCGCTAAGTCGGTCCTAAAAGGGTCCGACGTACAAAACGTTAGGAACTTGAAATAAGAATTAATGAAGCAGCAATCTAGTTGTGATGGTTGATACTTCAATATCCGACATCGACTGACTCGCTCAACACCACTGAGCCCAACTGGCGACCGCTACTACTACTACTACTTATTATGTGTGGAAGAGTCTATTACAATAGAATAGGTAATGTTCTGGAATAATATAGGTGTATCGCGCTGTTTAAGAATCTGGAAGTCTACATAAACATGTGTACCCACATTTGCAATTGTCGGAAAGTAGTTGTAGTAATAATTATTATTATTGCATTATGGATAATATATCCACAAATTCCTTATAGATCTATACATATCTTTCTTACTTTCTCTCTGTCTGTCTGTCGCTGTCTGTTTCTTCTCCCTCTCTCTCTCTCCATCTTCTCTTTATATATATATATATATATATATATATATATATATATATATATATATATAATGATAAATCCTAAGGAGACAGGCGAACCTACGTAGGTTTCACCTGAACGGATCTTCAGAGTATACTGGCCTGGCTCGATAGGATTTATTCTATTTTTCCGCTCTACTTAGCGTATTGATCTCTTTAAGTGTTAGTCTTTATACACGCTTGGTTTTTTTTTTTTAGACTAAGTGCTTAGGACACTTGACGATTTGTTTCGCCTTGTCTGGATGTTTTTAGTTCTTTCTTTATTTACTTCCAATTTGTTCCTCTGGTACCAATTTTCCCTCAAGTGTTTACAAGGTGAGTCATCCGAGGTTTTTCAAGCAGAGTAATACTCTAACACACACACACACACACACACACACACACACACACACACACACACACACATATATATATATATATATATATATATATATATATATATATATATATATATATTGATAATATTAGTGGTAAATATACACATACATATGCAATCATATATCTAAATTATATAAATATATAGATATATACATACATACGCATACATATATATTTGTATAAAAATAATTCCAAGAGGATAGAATCCAGATAGAACTCAAGCGTTTAAGGCTTTTTTATTTTATATATATATATATATATATATATATATATATATATATATATATATATATATAATGAACGAAAAAAAAGAAATAAAATAAAACAAATAAGCAAAATAAAATAATAAATTAATTCAAGCAGATATATGAGTAAATAGACTATGTATATAATAAATAGAATGACAAAATACGTAAACCAAGATAAACTTAATAATAATAGCAAATAATAAAATAATCAGTAATATATAAAACTGTATTCGGATCCAAAATTATTTCCACTCAATAGCCCTTAGAATAATTTGAAATACAACCTTTACCGCCCGCCAAAATAACCATTAGAATAATACAATAGACTAATCAAAATGCATCACACACCTGTATATATAAATAACCTGACGATTACTTTTAGCAAGAAATATACTGTTGTCTCTGCGTGTTGACTTGAATGTCCACTTTTATATTTACATACACTCTATCGCTTATATTGATCATTTTAGCCTATAAATATAGTATACCTTTAAAATATTTGGCGAGGAGTTATCTTTATTGGCTTTCCTCATTTTTTTTTTGTTTTCATCACAAGGTTCCGAACGGCTTTTAATCATCTCCCCAATCAATATTTAGAAAGGCTGGGTCCAATTACATTTATTATATTTCTCTGAAATATTTTTAGGTATGTTCAACGATATGAATTTAACCTAAATATTCCTGGTTGGGATTAGTTTCACTGAATTCGAAACCGCCCAAGAATTTAACAATTTTCTGTAATTATCATGATAGCATTATTAATTTTCAAAGGAACTATAATATTACTGCTTACAATACGAGCCCA